TATAAAGAGAGAGAGTCAGACTCAGATCCTTATTCAGTCTGCATCACACCACTTTACCAACATTGACCTCTTAGCTCCCCCTTGTCTGTAGTGTTTAAAATATGTCACATTATTATTATTATTATTAATTTATTTTTTTTAGTAAAGGGAACAAGTAAATCATTAAAATCACTGCTGGTTCTAAAACTATGGTATGACTACCAATAGTGGTACTCAGACACCCTCTTGTGGTGTGCTGACAAATGTGATTTTCACTGAAATTAAATTTTAAATTTAAACAGCTGCAGGGTTGTATATGCATCCTCTCTCTCTGTGGATTCAGAATATATTTTAAGTGACTGGCTGATATATATATATATATATATATGTATATGTATATATATATATATCCTAATAATCTTATTAGGAATAAAATGTACTGTTGGTTTCTTTGTACTGTACTTACTAGCCTAATGGGGTGTTTTTATGCTGCTGTATTATGATGTGTTTCCGACCAGGGGTACTTAGAGAGACCAGTAATTTCAGAGGCACAGTACGCAGTGTAACAAAGTCCAAGGACCCCTGTGATACACCATACATCCACAGTATAACCTATAAGCATACACTAGGTGTGTATGTACTGCAGTGTGTAGTAAAATCCATGCTACATCCGTGCAGCCGCGGTGAGAAATGGCATTTAGATTTATTTGGCTGTTGGTGCAGCTCTGTATTCAATCCCCCCCGAAGTCGCATTAGACGTCGTTCTACAACAGAAAACGACTTTTTCCTTCCTGCTAACGCGGTGGCACATTATAGGAATTCTGTAATGTGATGTGTGGAAGGCCATAAGTCAGCCTCAAGGCCTCCACTGGAACTGCTGCAGCAGGAGAATGATGGTCCTAGTGGGCCTGTGTGTGTGTGTATGTATGTGTGGGTATGGCCATACTTGATTAAATCTCAGTGCTATTAGTGAGTTTCATTAAAATGTGCCAGTAAAGATGTTAATCTTGGTTTAATATGCACACCAGCATGTCTAATTACAAAATAAACGTGCGTGCGTGTTTGTTTTTTGTGTGTGTGTGTGTGTGTGTGTGCTAACGTCTGAGTTCACGTCTCTCTTCCTCCTGCATGCACACCAACAGTGAGTGTTGCTCCCACACGTGACAGTAACACTTTGTCACAGGCTCTAAGATGCTGAAGGTGTGAGACGTGCTACAAAGTCACTGCAGCCTTTTTTTTTTTTTTTTTTAAAAAAAACCTACTGAAACCAAAGGCGAAAATTATTCAAGGAAGTGAGGTGGAATTAGTAAAATACACCACTTCACCTCTAGGTGTCATCATAAACCATGCAAAAATATTTGCCCATTGGACTGAAAGCTGACACTGAGGAAAAGGGATGCAGTATTTTGTACAATACACAGGGAAATATGTAAGGCTTTACTCTTAGCATTGATGCTAATTAGTGCTAATTTCCTTAAGGTAAACATTTTTATCTATTCTTAAATTTTCTTATCAATAACCCTTCAACCATTACCGGTCAACCCTCTTATCAAGAAAGCTCCCAGAATGCACCTTGTTTGACATTTCTAGTATAACTTTGCCTCTGTCCCAACTTTGTTTCACTTTCTAAATGTGTTAATTTTTAACAAAAATATATTCATTTTCTTTTCTCTCCCGCCTGAAATGTTAAGCTTCAAGTGAGTTACCAATCAACCAACTTTGGTTTTTATTCTTCTTGCTCCTTTGAAAACTATTTCCTCATTCATTTTCACACACACAATCGAACACCCCCCCTCGCCCCACCCCACACATATACACACACACACACACTCAGACCAAAGCGTTTACTGCGCCGTGTTTTATAGTTGAGCCGTGTTTAATTATTTACCCCAGTCCCTCCTGCACTACAGCGGTGTCAGTTGCCACCACACAAGGTTCGCCTCCTCTCCTCAACACAATGTGCTGACACCAGTAGAAGGGCTGACTCCTCTGTTCCTTCAGGTCGTGGTTCCTCTGCTGGAGGACAGACAGAAACGCCGACCTTCTCCACTATTCTACTTTGGATAAAAAACACCATCAACCATGAGCAGCAGTCAGCTACACCACTCCACCTTGGACATTTACTCAGTAAGTATTTCTGTGTCTGTGT